TATGACAGTACTGGTAAGAAGAGCTTTCTATGTCAGTTCTCTTATCTCTAAAAAATAAAATTGGTACTAACCTAAAACCAAATTTGTAAATATAAAACAGTACTGTATTTATACTCCCATTCAAGCCATTATTAAGCCATGTGCCTCTAATAAGACAATGACTTCCAGTGATATACGTACTTGGCAATGCCAGTAGGTGATTAGGAGACCAGGGATTTGGCACTTTTGTTTTGTGCTGCCCGAGACTATAAAACCATTCAGTTATAATTTAAGATTGGTGGGTCTTCAAACTCAAAGCTTTGCATTCTAGCAAGGCAGAGAAAACTTTAAAAATACAGTTGTATTTCTATACTTAGGGCAGGGGTTGGCAAACTTTTTCTGTAAAGGGTCAGACAGTAAATGTTTTAGGCTTTGTGGGCTCTATGGTCTGCGGCAATTCCTCAATTCTGCTGTTGTAGCAGGAAAGCAGCAACAGGCAATACATACATGAATGGGTGTGGTTGAGTTCTGATCAACTTTTATTTGTAAAAACAGACAGCAGGCCAAATTTGGTTTGAGTGCTATAGTTGTCTAACCCTCTTTTATGGATACAGGGTTTATGGGCACATTAAATATGCATACATGTCTATCCATGAAAGGGGAGTTTATACCAGCGGTCTTCAAAAAGTTCATGGAAAGATTAATGCTATCTTTTAATTCCATTTTTTGAGGTACTCTCATATATGTGCATTAGCATATCAAATCTCTGCCTCTCCCACTGGTCATGGAAGCTTCACAGGTATGTGATCAGTGCAGTCATGTGGGCACTGTTCATAGAAGTGTCCTGCTCTTGTAGTTTAATGCTGTGCGGTTGATGTCTCGAAATTCTTAATGATTTTATCTTGGATTTGTGTTTTGTAAGTGCAGCCTCACGGGACGATGGAGTCTCGGCCCAGGTGTGCAGTCTTGTCCTTCTCCTGCCTCACTGCAGCCTGGGGCACTTCTCCACTTCCTCTTTCCTGTCCCTGCCTAGCTACTGTTGCTGCCCTCCTCCCAGAGGGGGGCTGGGTCGTGTCAGAGGGGGAGACGTGTTCTGCTGCTGTCCTTTGCCCCTGGCAGGAGCCTGGATTTGAGCCCAGAGAGGGTTGGGTGAATGTGTGTACCCCTGACATCTCAGAGCAGGACGTGGAGGGGACCATCCCTGCCCCAGGCTGCCAGCACCACAGCACAGTCAGTGCACTCAGTGCAGAGCCTCTTGCCCAACCCTGATCCAGGTACCAAGTGTGTCTCAGTGTGGAGGTTGCAATCTTAGAGGTCGCCTGACTCCCCGCTCACCACTGGGGCATGGTGTGTAGGTCCTGTGGCTAGTGGAAGGGAGAACTCAGAAGCTGATGGGCCACATATGCAGGCCCAGTTATGGGGTTCCTGTGGGGGACTACACTTCCCCATGAGCATCCCTGCACTAGAGGAAGCCTGGCATTTAATAGCAAATAAAAAACACCATTACGGGTCATGAGAGAAAGAGAAAAAGACTGAAGAAGAAAGAAAAAAGTTTTATATTTTAGTACCTTTAATATCACTTCTTTCCCACTTTCTGAACAAAGTGCCCTGTATTTTCACTTTGCTCTGGGCCCTGATCAAAGGTTAGAGGCTATAAAGAGTCATCTTCTGAGATTCATCTACCCAAATGGAAGCTGACAAAGAAAATTCCACTTACGTGTTATTCATTTCAGGTCAGCTCACCCCTGTAATTCCAGGGCTTCCTGAAGCATTCCTAAATCTTAACTACAAGGCTCTGAAATTATTGTTGCATTTTGGGATATGAGGATCAGGAATGCTGCATGATAGTCATTTCCCTCAAATAGTTTGCTACAAGGTTAATTCATATTTCTTTAGAATGATGATGAGGCATTTTATAAATGTAAAGCAAAATCAAAACATTATGCATAAATTTAATAGACAACAAAGAAAGTTGAAATTTTGCTAAGATTTCCCTTTATTTCCCATTAAAAAAGAGGGTAATACCATAGCATTCTAACATACAAAAACATACCTGTTTTCCTGATTCAAATGAACCAACTGTAAAACAAGCATTTTTGAGACAAATTAATTTGAATAGGAGCTGGGAATTATTTGATATTAAGGAATTATTGCTAATATTGTTAGGTGTGCAAATGACATAGTGATTATGTAAAACAATACCCTGCATAGATGCACATGAGTATTTATGGGTGGAATAGCATAATGTCTAAGATCCGTTTGAAATACTTCTGCAAAAGGAGAAGAGGTGGAGTTAGAAGACAGAGAAGAGGAAGAAGAGAAGAGAGAAAAAGACAAAGGAGATGAAGAAGAAAACAATGAAGACAGAGAGCTGAGAGAAAAAATGTGAGATATTTGAAATGGGATGGGCAAAATGATGAACACAGTGGTGGAAAAGTGGAGATTCATGACAATATTTGCATTACCCTCACATATGTTTTTAAATTCCCATGATGGGTGTGTGTGTGTGTGTGTGCACATAATAAAAATAAAAACACAGATTTCTCATTCTCCTCCATGACAAATGTCTTTTGGGGTGGGGGCGGGTACCATGAGCCGCCTCGGAGGCTGACAGGAGCTCTCTAAGCTGAAGAGATACAAAGGAGCTGACGGGAAGATAATCCACCCATCGGTTCCTGACACAATATACAAAAGAAAAGAAGAAAGTGCTAGAAGAGACTGCCATTGTTACTCTCCTAACCTCGCCTTCTAACTATGCCAGAGTCAAGGCTCAGGTCACAAGGAAAATTATTTTGGTGGTCAACCATTTGCTCTATTTTGTATAGATCAAAAAAGCTCTTGTTCTCACCACATTCCAAAGTCACAGTTTCCCACCTACTTTAAAAATGTATCAAGTGGTCAGATGAACTAAAATATGAATCAAATGACTATATTATGAACACCTTGTTTGCAAACCTAGAGACAGCCTTCCTGTTTTTCTGACTTGTAATGATTATATATCATATAATGCTTGAAAAGCTAAAAATGCTTTATATTATTATAGGTATTTCAGATAAATGCTCAACGTGCTCAGCTTTTAAAAGTTAAATGTAAATTTCTCTCGAGTGCAGATGGTGGCCAAGCAAAGTAGCTCTTTGGTCTTCTAGACAGAAGGTCAGGTCATGGCTGAAAGACCACAGAACAACTGCGGCTTTGCTACTCCAACTCATCCATGGAATGAGACACTAGTACTTTCTTTTCTGAAACTGTGTTCAATACAAAAATGTTACAAAGGGTACCTATAAGATTTCCTCACATTCTGCCCAAGAAAAAATGGTAACAAGCATGTCATATCACAAACATCTTCTGACTGTGCAGAGGTTTTATTCCTAATGCTATAACCTTCTAAAAAGGCACATCTCTACCTAAAATATCACTGAAAATACTTACGAAAACTGTTAATGTTTTACTACTATCAGGAAATGTTTAAAATTGAAAACTACTCCTTTAAAATCCTGCAACTTTAGTTTCTATACCATCACCGGTTAATTAAAATGAGACACAGTGCTAAAAGACAAATAATGCAAATACTTTTAAACTGGTTATTTATTTACAAGTGATATTATACTCTTATTTTCCCTATAGTGTTTTTTTCCCTCTCAAACATTATAATGAAATTTTCAATAACACAGAGACTCTTTCCTGCTATATTTTTCCAGTTAGTCCAAAATATTATCCTGGCAGAATGCTGTAGAATACATAAGGTATATAATAATGCTAGTGAACAAGCCAATATAAATACCTTTTTAAAAAAATATAATACATCAGGAAAGGAAAGTTCTCTGTGTTTGACTTAGCAGTCAGTCCCTTCTATCCTTCAATCCCTGATAGAAAGGAATTTCCATTTCACTATCAGGCACGCCCCCAACTGGATGAAATAAAATAGTTTGATTATTTGTACGTGTTAATAATGAAAAAATATTCTAAAAATTTGAAACTCATTATAACATCATGAATATAGTGGCAAAATTTTGTTTTGGTTGTCTGGATTTTAATTTGGTACTGAACATTTTGGTTATGACTTGAAAAACTTTCTGTTCTAAGTCTTGCTATCACTTTCATTTTCAATACTTTTCCCAACTTTCTTGTGTCATCCATCATAAAGAGTTGAACGGGTTGAAAGGGAAAGTGTTAGAAAATATAATAAAGAGTCTTGGACTAGAAGTATATCTGAAATAAATTTACTTGGAGCTACTTACTTCTAAACTGCAGTGAATTCTTTAAAATACTGACACTAACAAACTCAATCTTATTTTAATTGAATAGATTAAACCCGCTTTCACTGAACATAAAGAATACAAGCCTTCAATGTCCTGTACTATATTGTAAAAAAAGAAAATCAAAAGTCAGCCTATTAGAACTGCTTCTCTAAAAACTTTATGCATGTTGTCAATTAAAATTGGAGTATCTACATGATCTTCACAAAGATATTACATAAAACATCTGTTCAAACTGAAATTGAAGTAAGCAGCATTTTAATGTCACTGTATTTAGGCTTTCTGAGCAAACGTATTCATGGTTATCTTAGTTAAAACTGGTTTCACTCTGCCAACAATCAATTTGATTGACATATTTACATATCAACTCATCTCATCTTACAAATTTTAAACTTTTTCATTTAAAATTGGATTCAAGTTGGCATCTTTCAAGAACTTTATGTATGTATATTTTAGGTTCAAACTGTGCATTAGAACATTTTTTTTTACTTTTGTAAGTAATAGATACACATATCCAAATGTATATTTATGACCTGTCAGAATGGCATTTTATATGCATGCAGTTATATTCTCACTATTTCATGTGAAAGGTGATAATTTTAGATAACTATAAATACAATTCTTTTAACAGTAGATACTGGATCATTCCATTAGTTAGAAACAATTTAATAGAAATAAATAACTTAGGAATAAAACCACATCAACTTCAGAAAGTACGTTAGCTGTATCTTTAATTGCTGCAGTTACACTTGTGTCATCTCTTACCTGATCTTTAATTTCAAGATCCCTTTTAGTTTTTGCTTTGTACTCTCTGTGCTCCTTTTCTGCCTCGTCCTTCTCCATTTTGGTTTTATTCAGCTGATAGCGCATTTCTCCACACACCTGTTGGATTGTAAAAACTAGATCAATAGCTGCTGGAATCTGCCAAGAGATACCTGCAATTAGATCTTTTGGTGCCCCCTAGAGGTCATATAGATAAAATACAAAAGAACTTTTCTACGAATGGCATTTTCTGTTAGGATGTTCAATATAGCCTGTTAAGATTTGGAGGCAATATCAGGAATTATTGAGTCTAATAATCTCAAATTATAAATAAAGAAATACATAACTAAAGAATTTAAGTAATGTGCCCAAGATTATTTTATGTAAAATAATAGTTTCAATTGCATATTATCAACCAAAATGCACTACCATGCAAATTTCAACTAGGTAAAATTAGTAATTAAAATGGCAAGCTACGTTATTATTCACTCAAATTGTTATGATTAAATACTCTATGAAATTTTTCTTTAAAGATTTCACCAATTAAGCTTTTATTTAAGGACATTTATTTTAAAATTTTCTCTCTGTTAATAGACTATATTATTGATATTTAGGTGTATAGTACCCGGTATTTACTGTAAGCTTTTTATATAATGTCAATCTTATTATGCACAATACTATGTATTCAAGTTAAGGAAGATTCTTCTGGCAAAAGTCAAAGACTGGAACTAAGCACACTCTGCACTGATAACTAACATTCAACATGAAAGAAAAAATATATATTTAAGTGAAATAATTTTAATATATCATTAAACAATGAACACACACAATATCTAAAAAGTATTGTGTATCATCCTGTATACATTTTGTCCCCCCCCCCTGCAAATCCACGGCCTCCACAGAAATATATTTGGAAAATGTAATTAGCAGATAAATGTAAATAAAGAAATTATGGACCTTTTGAGATAACTAAGAACCTGTAGACTGATCCATTAATACACAAGTCTGCTAAGTCTGCTTCTAATGTACAAATACGGATTTTTAAAAATCATATATTATCTAAAGGTTATATTTGCTTGAAACTTTTTAATTTTGGTATTTCTCCAAAAATGACGACTTTGGAAACTTTAGAAATTAGTTTCATCATTACTGAGGTATCAGAATATACTAAGGTATAAAATTTATATGCATTGCCTACATTCAAATGAAAATAGTTAAGAAAGTAAACTAATCTGAGTTCAAAACTTAGTGACGTGACAGAAAAAAAGTAAGTTTCTCCCCAGTAGCCTTCAGAAACCTAGAATAAGAATGAAATTACTAAAAATTCGACTTGAAATTCAAATGTCTTCAATGTGTAAGAGTTGATTCTTTCCATTTTCAAAAATCACAAATTTACAAAAGCTATTCATTTTAAGGCTAAATAAAAATTTTAAATTAAGCATTTTAGAAAAAAATTAGAGGGGCCCTAATTCATTTTCTTTCTCACTTCTTTACTATTCTGATCTACTTGATTTACATCTGAATGAAATGGGAAAAAAGCCAAATTGATAATATCAGAAAATAATAATTACATAAGCAGGATGTTTAAAACCCAACACCAATACAAACTTATTATGTAAAAAATGTCTAAGCATCAGGTCTTATTCAAAATTATCCTGTCCCTTAATTTTACTTTTAAAGTTCCCTTCTCTTACTACTTTCAGTTTAGCATTTACTAAATTTATCCATAACATTTAAATTCTATCTAAAATAAATCAACAATTTAAAATGAACTAGAATTATATTATTTCAGGGTTCCGAGCAACCACAAGGTCATTTGGTCAAATCATTATTCTAATGCTTGAGTCCTTTTGGAAAGTTCAAGAGACAGAGAACTTACTCTTTACTGTACCAGATTTCAACAGAAAGCTCTCTCCCTATAATGAACTGAAAACTGTCTCATCCATAAATTTTGGTTAAGCATTTCTATCCCTTGGCACCAGTCCGCTTACTTCCACCCCTGCCTCCACACAAACACATTAGGTATATTGGCAAATATGAGGTTCTGAAAGTCCTGTATTAGTTAGCTTGAATTTTAGAAAGCAAACAGAAAATCACAGAAATTCAAGGATAAAAAGGGGAGAAAATGGCTCCTTTGCCTAAAATACATAAGTTAAAATTCATTTTAATTACTAAAGCATAGAACAAAAAATGGCATTAAAAATGCATCAGAATTTAGGAAAATATATTGAGGGGTAAAAGGCAATATGGAAAGGGTAAGTATTTCAAACAAATTATATGTATATTTAGTGGTGAAATATAAATTGATTTCATTTATTACGTTATACATTCCCATATTTCGTTTCTTAGTTTTAAAGCAATTGATTATTGAAATCTAGATGGACTTCTAGTACTTCTTAAAATATGCACCTTATATGTTAATTGTAGCCAGTTAAGACCATTATTTTAGTTCTTGGTTCACATGTTAGTGACGCCCGTAGCAAAGACACTGTGGCATTTTAAAGTACAAATTTAAGCACCAATAAAACAAGAACTTAAGAGTTTTAGAATACTGACTTCAGAAACCAGGTCTGAAAAGGAATGGAAGGTGGAGGATTTTTTATGTTAAGCATCTTTTCATGTTGTAAATATATATGTCTTTGACAGTTATAGGGCTGGCAGGTTAGCTCCCTACAACAGCAGCAGTGTTATAACACTAAGGTCAAGTGTTTGGATCCTCATACCAGCCAGCTGCCAAAGGAAAAAAAAAAATCATTGATGGTTACTGTGAAGACCAACCCTATGCTATCTATGGCCAAAAAATTCACCCCTCATTAACTAATTTAGAAATAAAAGTTTTATCAAATATTCCATAATTAAAGTAATATAACTCTCATTTACAAGTCTGTCTCTGCCACTTAACCCTTAAGCTCTTCAAGGACATTATTTGGGTCTGATTCATCTTTGTATTTGCCATATCCAGGAAAGGGCCTACATACAGTAAGTAAATATTTGCTGAATGGCCATTAGGTGGACTGTTATTATTCCTGAAACGACAAAATTTTTCTACTCCAAACTTCTTCCTGATAACAGTAATTGCTTTGTATATTAAGACATTTTTTTTCAAAGAAAACATTTACTTAATTGTTAGCTAAAATCTCTTTTTGTACCTTTGTGACATCCATTTCCTGAGAAGCGAGCTGGTTTTGAATTTCCTCTAGTTGATTAATAGCTGAATTCTTATCCCTTGTAACCTTTTCCACCTGGGCCTCCAGTTGGGCAATATTCTGAGTCAGGATCAACATCTGTAAGAGGAAGCAGAAATCCTAAACAATAATGTCATTTGACAAAACAAATACTTAAAATTTCTTGAATTAGGGCCGAGCCCGTGGCGCACTCGGGAGAGTGCGGCGCTGGGAGTGCAGCATCACTCCCGCCACGGGTTTGGATCCTATATAGAGATGGCCGGTGTGCTCACTGGCTGAGCACCGTGCAGCCGGTCACAAAAAGGACAAAAAAAAAAAAAAAATTTCTTGAATTAATAGCTACTGGGCTCTATCTGTAATTCATTTCTCTGTGGATTGGGTCTGTCCATTTGCCTACCTCCTCAACTCATCTATCCCCATGATTTGAAATATGTATTTCCCTTGTGTTCATTCCCCTGGTCTTTAATCTCATTTTGGAGAATGTATACCAAGATGACAAAAATCCAAGTTTTGGATGAAACCCTAAGGTGACAGGTACCAGACACCCAAGTAAGTTATGGAACAAATTGCCATAAGTAAATTTCAGAGGTGTGGAGGAATCAGATAACTCTTAAACCCTTCTCCCTCCTTTTATGGAGGGCATAAAAGGATTGATTGTAAGCATTAGAGAGGAAGGTATCTTTGGAGAGAGCTACTGGTCTGCTGTGACTCCCACTCCCCTTACCCCAACACCAACAATGCAGTTCCCTTTGTTGGTAAAATCCCATCTGCCCTCCCATTATCTAGCTCCCCCCTATTCCTCCTACAGGATTTAACTCAGCCATTATCTCCTCTCCTCCAGGAAGCCTTCCTAGACCCCCAGTTCCCAGCACAAGTTAGGTGCCCCCTTCACATACTCAGTGTTGATATTGAGCTAGTGGGCACTGGAACAGTCATGTCATTGATTGTTGCTCATGCGGCACTGGTGGTTTGATGTCTTGAATAGCACTCTGGCATGTGCTCCTACGACCACCTCAGTACATACGAGTATTCCTTCACCATTCCCCAAACTCTGTACTCTTTTGTCACAGTACTCATCCCACTATTTTCAGTTGTCTGTTTCCTCATTCCACCAGAAGGTCCCCAAAGGCATGTTCTTCAAGAGGCACCAAATGTTTGATGAATGAATAAATAATTAGAATAAATAACTTTTCTGAGGGACTCTGTGGATATCAGGTTCTTAGTTTTTCTTCTCAGGATTAGAAATGCTTTTTATTTATTTATTTTTATTTATTTATTATTATTATTTTTTTTCCTTTTTGTCTTTTTTCGTGTCCGGCAACGGATCGCAACCCTCAGTGTCGCGCCCGTACCGGACCGGGACCGGCAACGGGATCGCAACCCTCGGTGTTGCTCCCACACCTCGCTCAGCCAGTGAGCGGGAACCGGTCTGTATGTGGGATCCGAACCCTCGGCGGGAGTGCCACCGCGCTTCCCAAGCAGCGCACTGTAGCAGTGCGCCACCGGGCCGGCCCTCGAAATGCTTTTTAGATCTTAGGCTTATCCTTTATTGCTTTTTGTTTGCAATTATGTTTTGCTCTGCTCCAAGAAGTCAAACTTTTCTAGGCTCTTAATTTCTTACTTATATTAGCAATTTTAAAATGAAGAAGAAATGCTACTTTAACCCAGAGCAAAACATATAGGGATACCTAGCAATTCCTATCTGTTAAAACAAGAACTGGTAACTGGTAAATGCAAATACAGTGATATTTGAAATTGTTGTACATTGACATGGTGTGAATTCAGTTTTACAAATGAAATTAATGACTAAAATTTTGTGATGAAAATCAACACTGAATCAAAGTTTTGGTAAAGTAAGAACTTTACATGAATAAAATCAAGATAGGTGTCTGCCTTTGAATTATATAACTAGCTAAAGTTATATGAAAACAATGAGCCCTGGTAGCTATTGTCTAACGTACGCAGATGTATTAATGAACTCTTCTGGGGATTGTGGAGAATTGTTATATTTGACTTATGGCTATTTACATGTCTTTATCATCAATAGATTGTCTATAAATCTAATTTACACATAAAATTAGCTTCACTAATAACAAACTACAAAGGATCCTTGTACATATCACAATCTGAATCTAAAATTAAGGGTCAAAAGAAGTTAAATGTAACAAATCAAAAATATCAATTTAATTTCCTTAATTTAAAAATTCAAGTTCATGAGTATACATATCATGACTGGGTAATTATAGCTTTTCTGGAACCATACATCAGCAACAAACTTTAATCACCATCTACTAAAAATCAAATATTATTTATGTGGAGATATATCTGATGGTAAACATATTAACATTGTGTGGTTTTTTGAAGTAACTATGCAGACATTTATTTTGCTAATTGTAAATTCTGAGTCAGTTTCTATTATAAGCATGTAACATATCTCTCCTCTTCCTTGTGACTTCCTCCCTCTGCCACCCGTCATGTCTTTCCTCTGCCCACTACCTGTCTACTGCCTCCTGTCACCCACTTCCTGAGGCCTCCCCTCCCATTGTCATGCCTTCTTTTTCCCCATGCCCACCATCTGGAAGTCAACATTACACTGCAGGAGCTTCTCCACCCAACATCTGCTGCAGAACCAGAAGTAACACAGACACAGCTGCAACACTGCTGGATGTCCAGGGCACTGACATCAGGTATGTCTTTTAAACTTTGACAGGGGCAAGGAAGAGACAAGGACACCCAGGTTGGGAAAGCTTGATGGAAATTTCTGCAAAGCAGCCCCTAGTGCACTGAACATGGTGTGAAGAGGCATTCCCTATACAAGAGACACAAGAATTAAAGTTTCTACCAATGGGCTATTGTGAAGGGAACCAACTGAGAAAATATGTGGACCACGGCAGGTGCTCAACAAATATAAGATGAATGACTGAATGAACTAACAAACCTGAGTGGCTCAGTGCAACCAAGGACCATTACTGAAGACAACATACAAACTCACAGCAAGTACTGTATACAGGGGAATGATTCAAACCTGTCTAGGTGAAAAGCACCTGCTTTCCTACAGCTTCCCACACAAATGGAATTTTTTTTGTTTGTTTTAGAAAAGAAAAAAGAAAAAACACAAAAAGAAAGAAAATCTAAGTCTCGCAAGTATTCCTCCTGTTAGAAAAGCAGGATGCTTGTTCTAGCACTAACTTTAACTACCTAGCACTTACAATATTATGATTAATTGGTCAGTCTCCCCACTAGACTACATTTCTGTGCTAGGCAGTGTGATACACATTCTCTCTTTATATCCCCTTAGAGAAGAAATTATGAAAAAATGAGATTCAGAAAACTAAATAACTTGTCCAAGTTCATTCAGGCTAATTAATCAAAGGTAAAGGTGGGCTTTATATTCAAGTCTGTCTGCTTTTACACACATGAAGGACCAAGAAATCTACCTAATAAGGCTATTTCTCCCTTTCTGTGAAATAAGAATGATAACAACCACAAGCTAAAATTTATTAAATGCCCACTGCAATCCAGGTATTATGTTAGATATTTTCAAAACATTATCTCATTTAAGCCTAACAATCCCTTGAAATAAGTATTATCAACTTTATTCCTTACTCCTCTGAAACTTAGAGAGGTTAAATGAATTGTTGAAGGTCACAGAAAGGTCAAATTGGATTCAACCCTAAATCCTTTTACTCCAAAGCCACCCTCTGCCATTTCCTGACAGCACTTGCCTCAGTTCTGGGACCACTGTCAGCTTTTATTCATGCATCTTTGTTTAGGACAGCACATGCCCCCAGTAAACTTAAGTGACTCAGGCTCAGAAAGGCACTGTACTTCTGCTGCCACCTTTATTCATGAAATAATTGTCCATATAAGAGAAAGGTTCTGTTACATATGAAAGCACCCGGAAATGTGCCAGGCACATTTCAGCCTTCCCCTCTCCTTTCTTATCAGGAACTCTCATCAACATATTTTTATTATTTATTTACTTATTATTTTTCCTTTAAAAAAATTTTTTTTTCTCCTTTTCATCAGCATATTTTTTAGACAGTAGAACTACTCAGCAAGACAAATGGTTTCCACTAAACAACCCATGAAACAGAAATCTAGGTGTGAACGATAGGTGGTCTTTGTCATTCTCTCTCATAAACGAGGCTCTGTTCACAACTTTACTTCCTTATTTGGGTTGGCTATAGGCAGCATTTCTTCCCCCATACACTGCATTTCTAAATCCTACCTATTCTTTGAAGCTCAGTTAAAATGCCACTTTCTCCACAAAGCCTTCCATGATCTGTTGCAGAAAGGGATGAGTTCTGACCCCCTGGATTCTCGGCTTGTTAGTCATACCTTTCCAATGCCACAGGGTCTTTTTTTCTTTCGCTCATATTTCATTCATTTTTGTATTCATTCATTCATTCATTCAACAATTACATTTTAAGCACATTTTATGTGGGAGGAATGTGCCAAGCAATAAGGATGTTAACAGACTATACATGCAAGCGACTCATAGTGAATTAGGGGAAGCAGACTAATCAACAAAAATGTGCAATAAATTGAGTTATGAGAGCCCGGCAATAAGGATGTTAACAGACTATACATGCAAGCGACTCATAGTGAATTAGGGGAAGCAGACAAATCAACAAAAATGTGCAATAAATTGAGTTATGAGAGCCCGTCAGGGAGGATCCCAATTTAGCTTTGGCAAGCTGTAAGAGATGGTGGATATCAAGAACTGTGAAGAATCAGTTAAAGATGGCAGAGAAGATTTGTCTAGGCAGGGGGCAAAGCACAAGCAACATCCTGAAATGAAAAAACGGTACTGCAGACTTTCTCGTTTGCAGGTTTGGGGAAGTATAAGGTCAGTATGTGGGGGTAGAAAGGAGGAGAAATGAAGGGAGATGAGACTGGAGAGCTGATGAGAGAGGATAATACAGATTTGTCTAGGCAGGGGGCAAAGCACAAGCAACATCCTGAAATGAAAAAACGGTACTGCAGAGTTTCTCGTTTGCAGGTTTGGGGAAGTATAAGGTCAGTATGTGGGGGTAGCAAGGAGGAGAAATGAAGGGAGATGAGACTGGAGAGCTGATGAGAGAGGATAATACAGAGTCTTCATGTTATGCCACAGGATCCTAAATTTTATCCAAGGTTGCAGGGAGACATGAAAGGATTTTAGAGCAAGAGAGTGGCATATTGAGATGTTCATTTATGAAAGACTGTCCTGGCTGTGGTTTAGAGGACAGATGGGAAAGAGCTGAGACTGGAGGCAAGGACACCACAGGGGCTGTAGGAACCATCCAAGGGTGAGATATGGGCAGCAGTGGGATGGAGAGACAGGGCAATGTAAAATGCTTAGGGGCCTCAATCTCTAGAACTTGGTGATGATGAGATGCGTGGGGTGAGGGAGAAGACAAGGATGAGAAGATTTCTGTATTGGGAAACTGGATGAATAGGGGCTCCACTGGGATAGGGAAGATGGAAAGGAAAGCTGGTTTGGGATCTCAGGAGAGAGCTAAAGATTTAGAAATCAATACCATATGTATGCAATTAAAGCCACAATAGTGCCAAAGACACCTACATCTATAGCTGTCTGCTATACTACAGACCCTTGTACCAAGCTGCTTCCTGGACGTGTCTCCTTCATTGTCTCAAACACACTTTAAACTCAGAGTAACCTAAAAGGCACACATTATCATTCTCCCAGATCAAAAATAGAGATGCAGAGAAATAATGGAAAGAGAGCCTTTTAAGGAGAAAAAGAGCAAAAAAGAAAAATTTGCTAAATACAGCACGAGGAGGTCTTCAGTGAACCTAACAATGGTAATGTCACCAGCTGTGGGCACAGAAGCTAAAATGCAGCAGGCTAAAAAGTAAATGGGAGGTGAAAAAATAAAGACAACATGCGTGGACAAATCTTTCAAGAAACTCGACTATTAAGGAGAAACAGTAAGGAGGGGTATGGGATTACTAAAGTGGTTTCTAACCTCGGCTGCACAGTGGAATCACCTGGGCAACTTTAAAAAGTACTGACACCTGGGTCCTAATGTAATTGGTTTGGGGTGCAGTTTGGGCAATGAGATTTTTAGAATTTCTCGCATAGCAAAGATTGAGAACCACAAGATTAGAAGAAAGAGGCTATAGTGAAGGAAAGGCTGAAGATTCACAAGAAAGGGACAAATGAACTGAGCTCCCTGAGGTGGGGAAAGGGGACGGGACCCCTGGGAGGGTAAAAGGATTAGGATTAAGCCTTCTCCATTCTGATAGGGTTTGGATGTTTGGATGTGGGTGAAAATTTATTTTAAGGCAGAGGTGAGGGGGAAGATAGAGGCGGTTATCACCTAATGGCTTCAATTTTCTTTGTTAGGTAAGTAAGGCTGTCTGCTGAGAATGAGGGGAAAGTGGTATGGTAGAGAACTTGAGGAGAATTAAAGTAATTTGAAATAGTCCTGGAAAATAGTTCCAAGACACCGTCACCTCCCACCTGATCTCCGGGCATCTATTCCGGTTCTCCTTGCAATCTACTGACAAAGTGATTTTTCTCAAATACGAATGGCATCATGACACTGTCCAAATGGCTTCCTATCACTTTTTGGATAAAATTTAAAATTCTTCACATGGCTTTTAAGGCCATTAATAATTTGGTTCCTGAATACTTCTTCAATTTCTCCAAACTCATTCCCTACTACTCTGGCCCTCGCCCTCTATGCTCCGGCCATGGTGCCCCCGACACCAAACCTTCATGGCTTTATCACAATGATAATTAAACATTCATTTATAAAAGTATTTGTTTAATGTCTAACTCTTTCAGTACTCTGTGAGCTTCACAAGGGAATTGCATTGGTCATCAGACTACCACATCCCCAGTCCCTCCAGTTAATATCTGTTGAATGCTGGATAAACGGAAGAGAGAGGAAGGTATCAGAGGTCTGCTAGAAAGCACTGAAAGAACAATTCTGGACATTGAAGGCTCTGAGTGTACAGCGGTGCCATCTGCAAGGTTGTGGGATTTTCACCAGCTGAGATAACCAATCCAGGGCAGAGAAGATAGGCAGTTAGATTGACCTATAGTAGGATTTTGACAGGCACAATTTTTAAAAAAGGTAAAGACAAGGGAGCCTACAGTAAATGCCTCAGTTTATCCATGAGACTAGAAACTCACTGGGCAGAAGTTGTGGTTTGTCTTTTTATATATCGTTAGGCCCGTACATTGCCTTGCATGTGGGAGATACTCAGTAGACATTTGCTAAATGAGTTCATAAGCACACATTGGAATATGATAACAACACAGCACTTAAGGTACAAGCTATAAGTCCACTTTGTAAAAAAATGTAACACAGCTGTTTTGCTTACTTTATAGAACACATCTTGCTTAATATTACTCTATTACAGCAATTTTTAAGCTAGGTTCAACTCAACTCTGTATTCCAGTTTGTTACTACTTTTCAAACACTGCCCATGTCATGTTATCTATTCCTTTTGCCTTTAATTTCTCCCTTGCAAGTATTCATCGGTGATGGTCATTATTCATCATGTAATTTGTCAGAAGTGACTTCATACAGTATGTATAATCACTTTTTCTTGGTTACTGGGTTTCTTTCAAGTGTTTTATCATCTGCATGTTTAATTTTGGGGTAGGGGATAAAGTGGGGGAGTCATCTCTCCTTGATTTAGCCAAAGTTGAAATAAAATCTGGGTGTCTTCAGAGCACCTGCTCGCCTCTGGCAAACGTGAGACAGAGAATCAAACAGAATGGCAGGATTAAAGTAAATTTCACAATTTCATAATATAGAATCTAACTGATAATTTTATTTTAAAAGGTCAGAGAATAAAGTTTATTGAGAAATATTTGAAAAAACAGCATTTTAATGAGCTCTAAATTATAAAAAATTTGACTACTTATACATAATAAAGGTTTTAAAATTTAAGTTCATTCACGAACTGTAGCGCATAGAATCATCAATGACATGAAACAAACATTTCTTCAGCCAAGTGGATGACAATGGAGTCCTTAAGTACCTTTGATTCCATGTTCTCCCTTTCTTTTGTTATTTCTTTCTTCATCATCTCTTTCTCAAACGCCCTTTTCTCCTGCTGAGATGCAAGTTCTTTTTCAATTCGCTCTTTCCGCCTCTCCAGCTCATTCTTCAACTGCTCACACTGGATTAAAGCCTGCCAGAATAAGACAGAGTGAAATGGGACTTTGGAATTTGAAAAAAATAAGGAGAAAATGAGACAATTAAGCTTTAATTTTATTTAAGATAGTTAAAATTCACTATAAAATCCATTAGCATAATTTTGTATTTATCATCCCCATTTACTGATTTAAAACAGTATCCAAATGTTACATTTATTCACATATTTCAATTTTCACATTTAAAGCTATGTTAACAAATTAACTAGAAAATTCAGGTAAAGGACCTTGATGAGGGCCAAGGATAAGTCAGAATTTTGAAAAAAGGTTCAGAAAAACCAAGTGGTTGGTAATAACAATTGTATATCATGTTTAGACAGCATGAAACATGTAAGTATCCAATTCAACTGATTTCTCATTTGCTCATGGTTAAAAATGACTGAATACTTTAAATGATAAAAAGATCAAAATTTTCAAATGAGTTGTTGAATATATCATTACATACAGGCATCTATTGTTTAACACTATATAATAATCAAGTGTCCTAAAACATAACTAAGATAAGATTTAGTTCACTCCCCCTAAACACACAATTAAAGTAAAAATTAGGTAATAATGAAAAGTTAAAATAAAGAAAGACTTAAAACAGCATTCACTATCTAGTTTTATGAAAATTGTCATCTTCCATTTCTGATAAAAGTCCATAATTGTTCTTTAGTCTTAAATTTCCCTCTCTGTGTTTCTAGAAATAAAAACTCTGTAACTTCCTTTTGGCCACATTTATGATATCTCTATGTATAATACCCAATAATAAAATATGATTTCAAAATCCCAAATTTTAAAAATCTCAATTAAATTAAGAAGCAATGATATCTTAATCTTATCCCAGTGGCTCTTATCTACAATATCCACCTCACCCAACCTCTCTTTTCCCCTGAATTGGTAGAAAAAAACCCAAGTTACATATGACTTACATACTGTATGATTATAAATTTGATAGTCACATTTTTTGTTAATGGAGCCGGAAATGGTCTCGGTAAGCACTGTAAGTTTTATGCATAATTTTGCTTCCCTCTGGTGAAAGCTTTAATAACAACAGATGAATCTAAGATATGTGAATTTTTCCTCTCTTTGTAAAGTATTAAACTTCAATTTCTTTTGGTCTCTTCTGGAATGTTTCTGTATTCCTAAGCATAAAAGTAATTGTCTCTGATTGTCAATTGCCTCAGATTAACTGATAGACAAATACAGTAAAATTATCTTAGTGAGTTATTCTCAGGTCCAGTCCTGGTTGAGAATGCCTGGAAGAGGAAATTTTAAAGTAGATTTTAAAAGAAATGAAAAGTATAATTTTTCTATAATTTAGACTCATGGAGCTTGAAATAATATGAATTAGTGGCTTTCGTGCTCCAAAATGCAATTGCTCCTGTGAAAAATATTTTATATGAACTTAATAAAAATGTTCATAAATTTTGCTCATATAATGGATACTACTGGTATGATTGAATAAAATAATTATTGAATATCAACTATATATCCAATCTGAAGGTTTTCAATTGAACCAAAACTCAGGAGTTAACATCATTAACAACAGGAACAGTGGAAAAGATTGCTGAAGATCTAAAAACCAGGCTACCATGAAAAGCAACTAAAGAATCAATTCAAAGAATTCAATCAATTCAGTAACAAGGAATAGTAAATGATCCTTATAGGATGAGGCCTAATGCCAAGATACGATGATACAGCAAAAAGCTCACAGTAAAAAGTCATAAGTCATGTAAACCATTGCTGAAGACTTGCTTTTGTGGGTGGCCTTCTGTCTGTTAGGACTAGACACCACCAATGGGTGGTGATGAGTAATGAAAGGAGCAATGAAACACTGAATAAAAATATTAGGTTATAACTGGTTATTGATGTCTCTTGGTATGTAACTGATACCGAACCAAAAGAGGCATGCAAAGGGGCTTAAAGACCTCATGCTCCTCAACCGCTTAAAATCACAGGCATTTACAGAGCTAAATCATGAGTGGGGGTCTTGAGAGTTGTGGGAGAATCTGGTCAGGGGTGAGGTTGGCGTAATTATTTCTGGCATCCTGACTAAGTACCTCCTTGGCTCCTTTGAGTCTGGAGGTGTACAGACTTCAAAGGTGGCTTGTAGTTGTTTGTTATCTGCAAAGACAACTTAAAGAGAGGGGTTACAAATGTTATTTTAAGCCATAAGGCATTCATTTAAGGAACAAACACCCTGACCTTCAGATCAAGTCTTAGCCTAAGGAAATATATGTTTAATCAACTCTACTCGTATATTATCATTAACAGAATTTCTTACTCCTAAGAATCCAGCCTGTCCTGCTAAGTCAAGCAGATTTTCTTTTGCTATTTCCTCTTTCCCCTACTCAAGGCCTGTTCTGATGGGGTTAGGGGAATAGCAAGGGGAAATCAGGGTCTGTCCCCCAGTTTCATAACCAATGATTCCAAATAATATAATAGTTTTTACTTCTATTTGCTTTGATTTTAATATATATGCCTACTCACAAAGAAGAAAACAATAGGACTTCATCATACTTGGAATTAAAAAAGTGATTTAATCTTTCTAAAGATCTCTCTTTTACAACAGATGTCACACTAGAAGATTTGGGTCTACTAGACAAATATTGATATACTACTTCCATTAAAGCTTTCTCTTGTAGTTCTAGGGCTCCCTCTCCTAGTTTCCAGAATCCCAGCTGATTGGGTACCCCCTGATCATACTCAGATAACCAACCATTCAGTAAAGTCAAATAACTGAATTCACAAAGGCTAGGTCAGTAAACAGTCATTCATAATTAAACAATAGATCTTTATAGGTGACCAAGTTAATTTGGGGCCTGTGGCTGCCATTTCTCCTAGTAGTTCTTAAGATAGTGGCTTCTTCTTATATAACATACTTATTTTCTTATAAAATCCTCAGGCATTTTCACTGCCACTATAAATGTAAATATATAATATAAAATAATCCCTTCTAGTTAGCATGCAGTATGAAAATGGCACACTAGATGGCAACAAATGTCAAGGAACTATAGAACAAAGTAACCACTTCATAGCTCAGTAACAAAAGTAGCTGATTTTAAAATTAACCTATCTATGCCATCTGACTTTTTAATGCTCTCAGAAAGCAAAATTCCTAATGTATTTTAACACATCTCCTAGATAAAAACCACTAGACTTGCATTACATTTTGTAAACTGCTTAGTAATCCTTGCATTCATTATTACTAATTCAGTGAAAATGCTGTAGATTTGAAATACACAAATAGCTTCGCTTGTTCTTAACTGTTAAATTTTTTAAAGCACTAATTACAAAAGCTCACATTAATATTTAAAACTAATAATTGACTTTAATTCAATTTAACAAACATTTATTGTGCAATTAATATGTAAGTGGTCACATGAGGAATACAATGATAGATGTCACAGACCTGACTTTCAAGGTCTTTTGGTGAAGATAGCAATGTAAATAGACACCAAATTTATAAACCACATCAGCAGGAATACAGTTGAGGAAGAGATTAATTTAAACAAGGGGCTAGGAAAAACTTTTGGGAAGACTGCTGTCTGAGTTCAGTCTTATAGGCTGAACAGATATTTCACAGGTGGATACAGGGTGGAAAAGAACGTCTTGAAGAAACTCATGAAAATGGTCAATTATAGGTCATGTTCTGGGATCAATACAGGTTATATGAAAGGGCATAGTGAAAGATAAGTCTAGAAAAGTTACAATGGGGCCAGATTGTGAAAGATCTGGAAGGTCACACAAAGGAATTTGTCTTTACAATTCAGAAAGGCCATGGCAGCAGTGTGAAAAATACATGCACTGGAATTAGAAGAAACCTGACAGAAAGCAACTAGAAAGCAACTGCAATAGTCTGCATAAGAATATGTGAAGACTTAAATCGGGGTGGGGTACAGGAAAGGAAAGGTGGGCATAGCTAAATAGGCGACTCTGGACAGAGAGAAAGAACTTGGCAAGTGATATCGAGAGAGAGGGATAGGAAGAGCTAAAGTTTTTAGAAGGACATGAGCCAGGGCTGTTGCTAAGATGGTGATGCCATCATTTGAAAAAGGCAATACAGACAAGGGTAGAAGGAAAAGGAGTAGTAGATGGGAAGGTGGAGAGAAATTTTAATAAGTTGGTTGTATAGCGTTTCAGATGCTAGTGGAATATCATCCATATAAAGAGATCTAATAGCAGCAAGAAATGTAGGTCTGGGGCTTGGGAGAGCACTTAGAGCTAAAGGCACAATGTGGGGATGTTCAAAGGAAGGCAATATTTGGCCACGAGAGAAGACACGAATCCAGAAAATCAAGGCAACACAGGAGCAGGGCTAGCAACTAACTCTGAGGGATGTCCATATTGAAAGCTTGTGGAAAACAAGTTAAGAGATGTAAGAGTAGACAAGAAGGATACAAAGTGGACCCATGAGAGTAAAATATGAGCTAAATCAAGGGAAAGAGATGACATGTTATCATAGGACGGTTAACAGCTTCCAAAACTACAGAGTTTGAGTCAAAAGAGGATTGAGATGAGGTCACTGAGTTTTGTAATCAGGAAGTGACTAGTATCATTAAGCTAGCAATTCACCAGCATGAAATCAGACAACGATTTGTTCAAAATTTGACTGCCATGTGTTCAGAAGCAAAAGGAAAGCCATAGGGGTGGACAACTGTTTTGAAAGGTCTGACAGTGAAATGATAGACAGAGGTAGTAAACTCAAGCGGAAATTGATCACGTGAAGGCTGTTTTTTATTTTTATTTTTATTTATTTATTTATTTTCCTTTTTGTCTTTTTTCGTGACCGGCAACGGATCGCAACCCTCAGTGTCGCGCCCGTACCGGGACGGGACCGGCAACGGGATCGCAACCCTCGGTGCTGTTCCCGCACCTCGCTCAGCCAGTGAGCGGGAACCGGTCTGTATGTGGGATCCGAACCCTTGGCGGGAGCGCCTCCACACTCCCAAGTGGCGCACTGTAGCATGCGCCACTGGGCCGGCCCTGTTTTTTATTTTTTTAAACAAGAATAACAGCTATAGATCGGATGGGGGGATAACAGTGGGGAGCGAGGGACGGAGAATGCAAGAAAGATGTGCTAAGAGATGGCTCAGCGTCCCCGAAAACCTAGAAGAAGTAGGAGACATCAAGAACTTAGAAAAAGAGATTCATATTGGGAAATAAGAGGGCCAGAAACGTGAGAAAAAATGAGAAGACACATTTGGAGGATGAGATGTTTAGGAGGCTCCTGTCGGCTGATCCTGATCTCAGTAAAGTGAGAAGCAGGTCGTCTGTCGAGAGTATGGTGTACAAGGGGAATTGGGGAAATGAGGAAGAGGAGTTTCTGTGTAGAGTAGATGAGGCGGTCAACCACACAGGTAAGCACTGCTGAACAGGACTTATGACTGCCGAAGGTGACCAGTAACGCTCTCCAGGAGAACTCATTCAGTGGCTTCTGTAAGCGACCTTCTTCAGCAGTGCTTGGTAGGCCAAAAGTAGCCAAAGAAAAAAAGATTGGTTGGGTTTAATTTTCACTGGGCACTGGCAAAGAAGGTAAACGAGGAAGACAATGAAGGAATTCTAGAATGCAGAGTTGCAATTTCCTTAGTCGGTGGATATTTACTGAGCACCTATTATGTGGTGAGCACTACGCAAGATGCTAGGGATTTAATGGTGAACACAATAATAATACATTTTGATAAATACTTTAATAAGGAGTGGTTCTCAAGTGAGGGTGAATTTGCTGTCAAGGAGACATTTGGCGATGTCTGGAGACAACTTTGGTTGTCACAGCTTGGGAAGGGGATGTGTATTGGTGGCATCTAGTAGGTAGAGGCCAGGAATGCTGCTAAACATACCACAATGTGCACGACAGTCTCCAAAACAAAGAATTATGTTCCTAAAATGTCAATGCCAAGGTTAAGAAACCCTGCTACAAAGGCACATATGAGGCACAAATCTGGACCTGAGAGAACAGAGGTTTTCTAGAGAGAGTGCCACGTAAGCTAAGCCACAAAAGGATGAAGAAAACATCCAGGCCGTGGAGTGGAGAAGAATTTGCATGGCATATACAAAGACCCAGAGGCTGAATAATCACTGGGATTATAACCATCACCACCACAGACATTTATTGAGGAGATATTTTGTGCCAGGGTTTCTACAGGATAACTAATATACATTTTAAACTGCAGTCCTCTTTAACAATAGTATGAGTCAGGTATTATCTTCAGATGAAGAAAAACTGAGGCACAGAGAAGTTAAATAACTGTCCAAGGTCACACAGCCAGTGAGTCTAGGTCTGGCTAACTCTCATAATCTCGTGCTCAATCATTAAAGTCTCCTGACTCTGCTGGGGGATGAGGTGTGAGAGGAGAGTGATAAGAAGCAACACTGGAGGGGAAAAGGGAGCCACAGTATGACAGACCTCGTAAGCATGCGAAGGAATTTGGAGACCAAAGGCAGTGCGAATTCACTGAAGGATTTTAAAGTGGAGAGTCCCATGAGCAAATCTGTCTTTATGAAAGATCACTGTGGCTGCACAATTGGGACTGGAGCAAAGGAAGGGAGACAAGTTAGGAGGCTGTTGTAACACATAAATTCAGAGATTACCACAAAGTGAACAAGAAGTGTTAGCGAGGAAAGAATTCGAGAAAACTTCAGAAACTAAGATTGGCACTTAGGGATTGGTTAGGGGTTAAGGAAGGGACGACGTCCGGTTGTCCAGTGAGAGCATACTAGTGGACAAAGGCTCTCTTCAGTGAGTTGGCGAACACAGAAGGTGCTGCAAATGAGATGGTGGAATTCATATTTAAGTAGGAAGGAAAGCAGACCAGCCTGGAGACAACAAATAAAAAGAGAGGAGGCTGAAAAACTAGAAGCAGGAACGAGAACATGAAGCAGATTTCTCTACATAAAGAGGGAAGTAGAGAAAAGTCTCTGGTCAGAGAGAGCCGTTTCAGAGTTTGAGGTACTAGGGGCACTTCAGTTCATGTGGGCGTTACAGAACAGTAGGGGGAAAATATTATTTAAGGAGACCGAAACGTGTTGCTATTGCATTTACAGTCACCAATCATTTAACAATTGGGATACCTTCTCAGAAATGTGTCATTAGGTGATTTAGTAAATGTGTGACATCACAGAGTGTACTTACACAAACCTAGATGGTGTAGCCTGCTACACACCGAGGCTATATGGTGTAGCCTGGTGCTCTGGCCACTGTTGTGTATGCAGTCCGTTGTTGACCAAAATGCTGTTATATGGTACATGACTGCATTAACAACATGGATGTTGAAACCTTTAAGGATGATGAAAGGAGACAGGGTGGAGGGGGAAGGGATGTAGCCTGGTGCTCTGGCCACTGTTGTGTATGCAGTCCGTTGTTGACCAAAATGCTGTTATGTGGTACATGACTGTATTAACAACATGGATGTTGAAACCTTTAAGGATGATGAAAGGAGACAGGGTGGAGGGGGAAGGGATCAGATGCTAAAGCTCTTAAAAAGTGTCAAAGAGTGTCTTCTAGATGAGAAATTTTATTGCTTACTATTAGGGAAAAGGGAGACAACACTCATTTCAAAGAGGAATGGTACTGGAAAGGAGGTGCCCCAACAGAGGTCTGGAAATGGCAAGAAGGAGCGAAGTGAGTGCTGATTCCTCCATCGTAGCCATGTGAGATGAACTAAATGGCAAAAGGGGCTTTGCTGGAGGTTTTAAGGATCGTGATGTTGTCAAGGGACAGCCAGAGTTCAGAACAACTAAAGAAACAGGAGGAGCGTTTGAGGAAACATTAACATATGTTAGGGAGTTTGGTCAGAACTGAACCTAAATTTCATAGGCAGAGACGTGTTATGAAATTAGTAATGAATTAGGGTCAAATGGTCTGGGAAGAGTTAGGGATGAACTGGACAGAGATAAATGGAGAAGGCAATGACTGAGAAGAGTCAATTCTTAATATAGAATCAAACAGCTCCAATATTTTAAAGAATGCTGATGTTACTACATGGTTTAGACTAGTGTTATCTAATAGAACTTTATATGATGATGAAAATGTTCCATATCTGCATTGTCCAATACAGTAATCAGTAGCTACACGTGGCTATTAAGCACTTGAAGTGCAACTAGTGTGCCTATGGAAAATGCAGAGCAATTTTAATCGATTAAGGTGTGGCCTCCAAATATAGATGAATCAACAGTAACTTCCTATTATTCAAAGTGCCTAGAACACAGATCACTGTTAATTATTATTATCATTATTATTAAGTATGTTTGATTAAGCTTACAATGGATCCAGACTCGTAGCTAAGGATACTATTAAATACACATATATTGTAATCTTTGGGATATTTGGATATTCTCAAAATTTCCCATATATAGAGGAAAAACATTGTCTTTGGTCAAACAAGAATATACACAAACTGGTGAGTATGTATTAAAATTTTCACAGCAATGAAAACTATCAGCAAATAAAAAGATTAAGCATACAAGTCTCTCAAAGTACTTTACCATATTGTATTACATTCTTTGAATAGTGATATAACAAGAGTATTTGCAAAGGAATAAGAATTATCCAAATAGCAAATTTGTTTAATTCAGAAAAGTCTACATTAACAGATTGGTATTCACTTTGTGTGTTTGGAAAACAGAATTTAGTTATGGAAGGATAACCAAAGAATTACTCAGAAGGAAAAAAAAATAGAACAATTCTAGATGCCTTTGCTTTCATCTTACTACACTTGCCTTGGTTTTTTCAAAATTGGCTTCCTCAGTCATCTGCACAGCTTGTTTCACCTGTTCATAGGCACTTGCTTCTCTTTGCTGCACATCTGCCATGCTGCTCCTTATGGAAACTAGTGCAGACATCAAGTCATCTCTTTCTCTGGCAGCACAGAAAGAATATTCAAAGCAAAAAATGATCAAACGATCGTGTACTCAGAAATCAGAAAGAAAAAAAAGCATTAATATGTATTAGAAGGAGTGCCGGAGTGGGCTGGCCCAGCACCTATTTAAAATACACCACAGAAAAAGACCCTCTGTCCTGACTTGGCAAGCAGGGGGGCAGAGCAGCCGGAAAGGCTGGGAGCCTTCACGGCAGGACTGCATCTGCGTGGGACAATAAACTATTGTGGAGGGGGCTGCAGAGAAAAGCCCAGAGAAGAGCAAATTAGTTTTAAAAAGGGGGTAGTCAGGGGTAAAGGGGAAAAATGCAACAAAGTGGGGAAGGTGAGGATTATACCTCGAGGTAGAAGTCAACATTTTAAGGAAGGACTAAGGCTTTGTTTATGCTGCTGATTCTCCTCTCATTTACTGAACAAATACATGTCCTTTCCTTTTTATCTTCCTCCACAATCCTCTTTCTCACTCTTCCGTTCCAATTAAATTCTTTCACCTACTTATGAATACATTCTTTTCTTTCAGTGGGTACTGTTGAACCCCCCAAATCCCCTGGTTATGCATGTAACACTCACAGTTTAACAGAATCTTATCCCGCTGGGTTTGATCCTTGCCAAGCCTCACCCTCTCCTCAGCAATTCTCAGAAGTACCCTACTAAGCTAAGCTGTTTATTGGGGGTACAAGTGAACTGAATGCCAAAATGTTTTGGCATGTAAAATAGCAAGGATCCGATCTCGTGGGTTAAATAAATCCCATATAAAATATTCCAGGAGACTTGCAATTTATTGATGGAATAAAAATGTCCAGTAGACCAAAGATAAAGTGAGGCAGGAAACTTTCTACACACACAAAGCAAAAATATGTAAGTAGGACTGTTACATATGCTGTCTCATGCTTTGTTAAAGAGCTTAAGGTTTAAAATATGACTTCAGGGCCGGCCCGGTGACGCACTGCTACAGTGCGCCGCTTGGGAGTGTGGTGGCGCTCCCGCCGAGGGTTCGGATCCCACATACAGACCGGCCGCTCACTGGCTGAGCGAGGTGCGGGGGCAACACCGAGGGTTACGATCCCGTTGCCGGTCCCGGTCCGGTACGGGCGCGACACTGAGGGTTGCGATCCGTTGCCGGTCACGAAAAAAGACAAAAAAGGAAAAAAAAATGACTTCAAATTCAGATGAAATAAATGCTTGCAGTTTCCTTTTTATTGCCAAGTTAAAGCTATTAGAAAAGAGCCAAATGTGATTTCTTAAAAAAAAAATTAGCAAACTTTAAAGAGTGAGTTTAGAAGGTTATAAACTCTGAGTTTGAATTACTTTCAGAATTAACCAATGACTCCATTAGAAAAACATCTCTTAAAGGTAAAACAATTTAGACTATTTGTGGTATTTGGAAAGCAGCCACAGTTTAAGAAACATGTAATACTGAACAAAGTTACAATTATTAGCAGTTTCATAAAAGCTCTTTGTTAAAAAAACAAAAAGAATAAATTGCTACAAATACCATAAAGTTCATGGGAGCATGGTGATCTTCACTTTAGAATTTCCTGAATTTTTTGTTCTAAATTGATAGAAAGTAATTTACTTTAACTCTTTTTATTCTGAAGGAAATAAAAAAGGGAGTAAATTGTTTTGATCAAATATAATCAAGCACAAGGATTATGTGAAAAAGTGGAAGAATCAAAGAAAGATTAAATTATTCTAGTTACGTAACAAATAAGTTTAAAGCAAGCAAAATTGAATGTGTATTTATTTGCACTTCCAATAACATGAAAGGGGACTAGCTTCATCAAAGATATGCAATCCAAGCAGGACCTGTGATTCTACAAGAAAAGAAAAATTCACTCTTAAGGATAGCAAGTCAAGATGGGCATCATAGAGTCACCTTTATTAGATTTCTAAGACCCCCTGAAAAGCAAGTTACTATTCAATGATATTCTTATTTGTTCCTGATACCATGTCATCACCAAAGCCCAAGTTCTAAAAAGAACGAACTGAAAAGTTCAGTGTCTATAAATGTGCTAACATATAGATCACAACAGGATCAAAGTCTAACAAATTTGCTTCTAATGGGAGACTTATGTTTAACATACTTAATCTCTTTTCAGGATATCTTCTTGCCAAGAATAGTGTTTGTTATAAAGTAGATGCTTGATGACAAAAGAACAAATGAATGAATAAAGAATCTACCACAGGGGGGCAAGTAAAGCTCCTTCCCAGTTCTAATATTTTATGATATAAATTGAAAATATCATCTGACAGAGTTCAGTTGCTCTGGTGAAAAAATTTTTCGTAACATAAATTTACCAATTTTAGACTATTAAACCACAGAAAATCGTCAAAAATAAACCCCAAAATACAGATGTCTTGTTAGGCCCATCATTAAACAGTGAGATCACAATATAATTATACTAAAAATCTGTGTAACCACAGGACTGACACATTCCAATTTTCTGTAAGCCAAATGCATTACATGCTTCAATTCAAGGTGGCCCTCAGCCCATCGGGAAGCTTGCAGGTAGCCATGTTGGCAATTTAGGATTATCTACTCAATCACTACATTTTGGTTTTGCTTTGTTTTGTTTTAACTCAGTCAGCCTATTTACCAAATAGCAAGCACTCAAAGCTAAAAAAAAAAAAAAGAGCTCTGGGCTGGCGGCCCCCTCTCCTTAACACAGGGCTTGATTCCTGTCCCATTCCTATGTTCATCAGGCTGTCACTTTCTTGACTGACCTCCCATGTTTCAGTCCCACACTTGTCCCTTGGGTCTAACAGCGCTTCATTATCTACCCTTCAGAAACAGTCAATTCCAGCCACCCAGGGTAACTACCCAGTCAGCTGCAGTCCTGCTCCAGAGCCACCAGTCCACGGGGCCAGCCTAGAGCTAGGCCTGAGTGAGGCTTTCACAACAGGAAGTTGTACAGATAAATGTGACACGTCAATGTGAGAGTGAAAGGGCAGATCTTAAAAACATCATGTGAATGTTTTGATGAATGTGATCAAGGAGTTTCTTGAAGCAAAGTAAGCAACACAGCATTAACCCTGCAACATTCCATGACGGAGACGAAAGAGTGGCTGAGGCTGAGAGATGAAGTAAAGAGCACGACTGTCAGTTCCGGGATGAAAAGCATGTGCTGTACTTACACACACTAATGAGCATGCAATATTTAAGGAACTTAGTGCAACAATCAGAACAAAGAGGACTGAGAAAGTCCCTGAATAATCTCAGCCAAGTGATTAAAATAAGCAAAAGAGAGAATTGGTCCGATATATAAACATGAGCTTTATCTTGAAATATAGATTGCCTAAGAAATGTCTTATAATTCCTAAATTTTCCCACAGTTATTATCAATCTTAAGCATTACTAAGCATCATAAGCATTACTACTACAATTTTTTAAAAAGAAAGTCTAGAAAGCCAATTACGACATTTGATTGTTTCTAATTTCTGGAAAATTCTTGCTATAGTCTTTGAAAGCTAACTATACAGAACACTGCCAATGATCCACCCCAAAATCACGAGCTGGACTAAAGTTCCAGGATAGTACTATGGTGATCATTTCTCCTTTTTGAAAAGTATACTGAAACTTCTCCAAGGTACTATGAGCTACAGAAAGGAATTTTTTTTTTTTTTCCTTTTTGTCTTTTTCCGTGACCGGCAACGGATCGCAACCCTCAGTGTCGCCCCTGTACCGGACTAGGACCGGCAATGGGATCACAACCCTCGGTGTTGCTCCCGCACCTCGCTCAGCCAGTGAGCGGGAACCGGTCTGTATGTGGGATCCGAACCCTCGGCGGGAGTGCCGCTGCGCTTCCCAAGTGGCGCACTGTAGCAGTGCGTCACCGGGCCGGCCCCAGAAAGGAATTTAATATAAAGCAGTTCTATCCTGATTCCTATTCAAAGGTGTTCTGATCATTAAGCAAGAAAAAGAGATTACTGTTACTGTCACCTATCTTATGGCATAAAGAGGTCTTAGTAAAAGACAGAAATTCAAAAACACTACTGAAGACTTCAAATCTACTTCAAAAATACATCCAATGTTACCAACAGGTGTTAAGAACTCTCCAAAAAGTCCCTGAGGTCCAACAAAACACCATAAACGTACGGGTGGTCTGGTCTCCAAGTCCTACCTGATCCTCTGCTTGTCAACTGCACAGTCACTCATGTCATATATTCAAAACAGTGCATGCTAATGGATGCAACAGGGAAGTTTATAGTTGGTGTCACAATACCACACGTCCAAATGAGGCCAGAAAACTCTTT